AGGGTTATTTTGAATTTGGACTGGGAAGAACAATTTTACTTTTGCTCAACCTGAAGGCTATGTTGTAAGGTTTTTGTTTTCTTCCGGAAATCTAAACAAGCCGTTATCTTCCTAATTAAGGTATCTTGTAAAAAGCAAGCAATAACTTGTATCTTTGTATTACATTTTTGGTTTTGGTTAGGGATATCATTTACAATGGTTTACCCTCATTTCCATGCAGAAGAAGAAAGTAACATTAAAACAGCATTGTTCCCAAAGTTAATTCCATTTAAGCATTTTGAGAATTAAACAATGTTAGAGAATGAGAAGTTTGAGTCAATGACTGCTAAAAGGAATCTTCAAAAAAGTGTATAGGAAACTGAAAAATTCCCTGGAAAGTTGGTATCCGTTTCTCAAAAACTGGACCTGTATAATAAGTATAGTAAGTATAATATATGTAATAAATAATCAACTTCAGTCTTATTTTTACTTCATCCTTTTTTTGCTAACATTTCTTTTTCTCTCTGGTTTCTTGTTAAAGCAATACATAATAGTATTAGTACTAGTTTCATTTTTTATTTTTAATAGTAATAGTACAAGTTTCATTTTTCTGTTAAATAGTCTTTTAATCTCTGATTTCCCACAAGTGAAGCTGAGGTTTTTATGTTCTACTTTGTGCATATCCCAAGAATTAGAGATAGTTCTTACTTATTGATGGCAATTGGGAACAGCAACTCCATCTCAACGTTTCATAGTCCTGATCTTCATGTACCAACTTATGACACAGTTTTGTCAGTCACTTTGTTAGGCAAATCCCATATGATTGCAGCATCCCACAGTCTTGTGGTTGTCGTTTTCTCTCCGCTCTAGGAAGGAGACAATGGCAAATCACTTCTGAAAAACTTTGCCAAGAAAACTGCAGTACTGTCCAAGCAGTTTCCATAATTGAATGGAAGAAAAAATATTTTGCATAGATATTATATTCTAACCTAGAGAAACTGTTAACAGTACTCCACTAGGGAGATATGGTGGGACTGACAGGAAATGAGAGGATCAGTTGTATTGTCCAGGATTAGTAGCTGCCCCAAATTCAATGGAACAGCTTCCCAACGAGTCAACCGATATTCATGACTGATCTTCAAAGGTTATAGCCCTTGCAGTGCCTCTGTGGTCATGTGATCAAAATTCAGACATTTGGTAGCCTGTCTGCATTTATGACTGCAGTATGCCCTTCAACTCTCCTCACTTGCCCAATTTCCCTTCTAACTCTGCCCTCCACCACTGCTGTCTTTTGTCCTTACGCCCTGCATCCTACCCACACCTCAGTGGGAGGAAGAAGATGGCAACGGTTATCTGGGGATTGCGGGGTGGCAGGCAGCAAGGGCAGTGGAGTGCAGAGTGACCAAAAAGGCAGAGATAAAGGGAGCTGGGTTGGGGAATTTAAAGTGAAGGGGAGCATGCCATGGCAGGATAAACATGAGAACCTCACCTAATAATAGCATAGTCCTGGCCTAACAACTGCAACCAGGACTACCAAAACTGCTGTTGCTAAATGGTGTGGTCATGTGATGTTTCGTCTAACAGATAGTTCTCAAAGCGGTGGTGAGGCCCCTCCTTAAGAAGCCTTCCCTGGACCCAGATGTATTAGCTAACTATCGTCCGGTCTCCAACCTTCGCTTTGTGGCGAAGGTTGTGGAGAGTGTGGTTGCGCGGCAGCTCCCCCGACACCTGGAGGAAACGGTCTATCTAGACCCGCTCCAGTCGGGCTTCAGGCCGGGATACAGCACGGAAAC